AGAGAGAGAGAGAGAGAGAGAGAGAGAGAGAGAGAGAGAGAGAGAGAGAGAGAGAGAGAGAGAGAGACTACGAAGAGATAAAAAAAACTAAAATAAATCTTTAAAAATTTAATTTTAGGGAGCTAGAGAGATGGCTCAGTGGTTAGGAACACTTGGCTGCTCTTCCAGAGGACCTGGGTTTGATTCCCAGCACCCACATGGTGACTCACAACCATCTTGCTACTGCAGTGCCAGGGGTCAGGGTCCTCTTCTGCTCTCCTCGAGCACGAAGCATGCATGTGGTGCACAGAAACATATGCAGACAAATACCCACCCATATAAAACAATACATGCACACACACACAAAATTAGGGTTTCCTTGGTTGTTTCTTTCTTTCTTTTTGAGACAGAATCTCTATAGCTCTGGCTGTCCTGGAATTCACCATATAGACCAGGCTGGACTGGAACTTACAGAGATCTGCCTGCCTCTGCCTCTGGAGGGCTAGTATTAAAGGTGTGCATCAAATTTTAGGGTTTTTCAACAAATAATTATCCAATATCAACTACATGCCAGGCAGGTCCCATACCACATCTGACTATTAACTATATACTCAACAATGCACTATCATATTTTCACATTTAATCTTTAAAATACCATTACAATGTTCAATAATTCTTGATTTTAAAGATTACAATTTAAGATTAAGTAGTATGTCCAGTAGTCTGCCTTTTTTGTTGTTGTTGTTGTTTTGTTTTCCAGAGGGTTTCTTTGTGTAGCTTTGGCTGTCCTGGAACTCACAGAGATGTGCCTGCTTCTGCCTCTGGAGTGCTGGGACTAAAGGTGTGTGTCACCACTGCCTGGTTGCCCATGCTCTTTTTTTTTTTTGGTTTTTCGAGACAGGGTTTCTCTGTGTAGCTTTGCACCTTTCCTGGAACTCGCTTTGGAGACCAGGCTAGCCTCGAACTCACAGAGATCCGCCTGGCTCTGCCTCCTGAGTGCTGGGATTAAAGGCGTGCGCCATCACCGTCCGGAGGCCATGGTCTTTAGTAAAGAAATACATTCATAGGAGAATTAGACATAAATGTTTATTTTAAATGCAACTCCTTCCCTGTCCCATCCCCCCCCCCCCCCCCCCCCCCCGCCCAAGACAGTTTCACATATCCTAGGCTGACCTCAAACTTACTATGTAACCAAGGATGACTGAACACCTGCTTAACCTCCCAGGTGTGAGAATTATAGGTGTGTACCAACGTGCCTGACCAAAATCTTAACTTTTGTTATAAATACTACAACTTTTAAGTATGACTTCATTTGCAAAGAAGGATCAAGTATCAAAAAAGTTTAAAAACTACGGAAGTTTACACAGCACCTAATACTGTCTATGCAGTAAGGGTAAAAAGCTTGGGTATCAGATGTGAGGTCCAGAGCCATTTTTTATGGACAGCTTTGTTTTGTTATCTTGGCTTTGTTTTTGGAAATAGGGTCTTAACGTGTAGCCCAGGCTAACCTTGAATTCAAGGCAATATTCCTGCTTCAGAATCCCGAGTGCTAGGATTACAAGTTTGAGCCACAAGGTGGGCTATGTGCAGAGCTTTAAATATCCCTTTCCCCCCTTAAACTTTCTGTGGTAGTCTGAATGAGAATGACCCCCATAGGTTCATATATTTGAATGCTTGGTCCCTAGTTGGTGAAACTGTTTTGGTAAGCACTAATAGGTATGGCCATGTTGGTGGAGGTGTGCCACTGAAGTTTCAAAAGCCCATGCCACCCCAGTTTGTTCTCTGTTTCCTGATTGTGTATCAAATGTAAGCTCTCAGCTATTGCTCCAGAGCCATGCCTGCCTATTTGCCTCTGTGTTCTTCACCATGAGAGTCATGAATTCACACTCTGAAACTGTAATCCAGCCCTTCTTAAATGCTTTCTTTTATAAGTTGCTTTGGTCGTGGTGTCTCTTCATAGCAATAAAAAGTAACCTAATACACTTTGTGAGACAAACAGCATTCAAAACCATTTTACTGGGAGCTAACTGCTAGGAATGGGACCATTTCAAATAAACAGCTGACAAGAAGAGCTTCTGTACTGTCAAATGTTCTGTTGTCTAAAGACTATTCAGTAGGTCTGAAGTATGAGTGAATGAGTTTCTCTTAAGTATTACTCCAAAAGAGCACTATAATAATGGTCACCTACTTTTAGAGCATAAATCCTCTGTGGAACACAGTAAATTAATTAAAACTTACATTTATTGAGTGTCCCTGCAGGAATTCTTTTATCTTTGTTAACTAAAATTTATAAGTCCCTTATAAAAAAAAAAAAAAAATCGGTGGTGGCGCACGCCTTTAATCCCAGCACTCGGGAGGCAGAGCCAGGCGGATCTTGTGAGTTCGAGGCCAGCCTGGGCTACCAAGTGAGTTCCAGGAAAGGCGCAAAGCTACACAGAGAAACCCTGTCTCGAAAAATCAAAAAAAAAAAAAAAAAGATCCAAGTGTCCATCAATGTTAACTAACATGGAGATTTTAAAAAATGAAACTTTGAAAATAAAAAGACGCAGACTGGTCTGCAATCCCAGCACTCGAGAGGCTGAAGCAGGATTACAGTAGTTCAATACCCTGGGCTACATAGTCAGTTCTAGGCCAGCCTGGGTAACCCTGTCTCCAAACAAAACCACAAAATCGAAAATTAGTAAATAAATAAGAACGTGGTAATATTTTAAGGGTGGGGCTGGAGAGATGGCTCAAAGGTTAAGAGCACTGGCTGCTCTTACAGAGGACCTGGGTTCAACTCTCAGCACCCACATGGCAGCTGCCAACCTTCTGTAACTGTAATTTCAGGGGATCCACTGGCCTCTTCTGGCACTGCACACACATGATGCATAAACATATACACGAAGGTAAAACACTCATACACATAAAAAAAATTTTTAAAGGCAGTAGCCATACTCAGGCCACCTATAAAGAAAGGACCTTGAAACAGAACAGAAACATTAAAAACTTAGGAGGTTAGTATGACCAACTAGTCTGTGGCTTTGGGAAATACAGGTATAGAGAAACAAGTTAAGTGACCACTAAGTATGTGTGTGCAGGGAAATCTCCTTTTATGTTTATGGCATAAAGCAGAATGATAATCACAGAAGAATCAACCACATGCAGAATTTCTGATGTAAATGGTTACCTGAGAAGTCAGTCAGAAGTCTCGCTAGGACATGCTTGTTAACCGTTTCAGTCTTGCTAAGGCTGGAAATAGGATCTACTCTAGTGTCTTTGATGATAGTGGGCTTTCTGGGAATCCCAAGATCAGATCCAGTCTTGACATCTATGTGTTCTAGGATGTTAGATGACCTCTGTGGCCAAGATTGTGGAGCAAAGGCTTGCTTGAGTTTTCCTCCAGGAGCTGCTCCTTCAGTCTGCACCTGCTCAGTCTGCCTTTCCCCTAATTCTTTAATGGCTCTGATGGTGAGCTGCTCTTGCTCTAAGTCAGGAGACACCATGGGGGCACCTTGAGGAGCGTGCACACCCAGCTCACCTCCACTTGTTTCTGTGCTGTGCTCACTGTATTTGCTTTTAATGTCTTTGATTTCAGAACCATCTAGCTCACTTTCATGCAAGAGTTCCACAGGCAAAGTGTTTTTCAAGTCTGCTGTCTTCACTGCTTCTAAGCCGCTGTGATCTTCATCCACTATTCCTTTCTCCCTGGCTCCTGTGAAGGCAGCCAGCAAGTCCTCAGGGGAGGCCCCATCTGTATCTTCAACATATTTTCCAAGCAAAGACTCCAAGTTGACAGAAGCTTTCACAGTTAGCGGGAATCCTGTACCACTAAGAACACTTGGAGGTGCTGCTGAAGGAACTGTGGGGTTGTCAGTCACAGCAGGTGTTGTTTCAGGGGCGACTTTATTCTGAGTATTAGGAACTTGAGAACACCCCTCCTCACCTTCCCAACTCCTTCCGAGAGTAGTTTTTGGCTGGGCCTGATGCACCTCAGAGGCACTGCTCGGCTCTCCCGAGTTTTCACACACTTCACTCCTCACAGCCTCACCACTGAGAGTCTCTTTGATATCCCTTGCACTTGTTTCTGCAGCAGCACCTGGAAGGGAGCCAGGTTTGGGGGGCAGAACCGTGTTGGTCTCAAATGAGGGATCTGCTGGGATGTCCTCTATGACCGTGTCATCGGACTCCCCAGAACTATCAGCCTCTGCGACTTCCCCCAGAACAGAGCTAGGCCAGGTGTCCCTCAGATCAGGTAAACCTGCTCCCACTGTGGCTGCTTCAGAGCCTGAGACCCATTTCTCAGGCACAGAGCCAGGCGGCTCTGGATGCGGATGAGAACTGCCTGGCACACCTCTGCCGCTGGCTTCTTTTGTGGAACTGAGGTAGTCTTTGTCAGGTTTTCCAGCCATGTTTTCTGGAGAGGAAGATGCTTCTGCCCAGTCATCTGTGGATTTGGTGATGGGAGTGTTCCCATTAAGAGAACATACAGGCATTTTCTGATGAGCGTTTGTTTTAAGATTTATAACTGGAATCTCTGAGCGATGTTCACTTCTGTCTAGTCCTGTACTTTTTGTGGTGCAAGAAGGTTTATCAGACTGATGTTTGGCTTGGGGAACTAAGTCCCAAGTCAGTATTTCATTAGTGAAGTTGTGCATATCATTCACACATCTAGACACCTCTTCTAGTGCTGCTGTAGTGTGTGAGAACTGTCTACTGAGCAGAGCAGAGGCTGGGTAACGCCCTGCCTCTTTACTTCTCAGGGGAAACACTTTGTCATTCATTTCCAACAAGTCTGCAGGGGATTCTCTATCACTGGGAGCTGCCCATCCACCCAAATCATTTGTGCTCTCCTTATACAAATCTTTAAATTCTCTGTCAAAAGTTGCTTTGTCAATAATGACTTCAAATGGTGACTCAGGAGAATCTTTTTCTACACTGGTTCCGGAAAGTTCAGCAGGGGACAAGGAGTGTGTACAAATGTGTTCTGCCTTTGACTGCCCAAGAGCCAGTGCACTCCTGTCCTCTCCACTGGGAACCTTGTTCTGGTTCTTGGGTTCTTGGTCTTCAACTGTCCACTCTTCTGCTGGACCAGTTTCCTTTGAGAGAAAAGCAGGCTGCTCTGGGAAACTGTCTGGAATGGAAGGGTGGCTGCAAGACCCGCCAGCTGTAAGAGAAACCGGAGTGTCTACTCTGTCTTTATTGGTCCCCTGAGACGCATCCAGCTTTTTCATACCTAGAGGAACCAAGGGGTCTTTTCCTTCTTTGGTTAGAATAAGTTGGCTGCCTAATGTTTCCCTTTTTTCTCCAAGCAGTACTGTAAGGTCAGGGTTACGTATTTCAGAAAATGAAAGAAAGGAGGAAGCCGTAATTTCTGAAAGTGGCTCAATAGAGCAAAGAGAGCTCAATACTGCTATGGTCAGAATTTGAAAGAAAAAGATTGCTTACCAGATGCAAGTACACATTAGCTAGTCAGGCCAAGCAGCATGCTTTTTATTTTTAATCACACACACACACATACAAAATGTATGTATATAAACATGCATACACACACACAAATACATAACAAAATAAACATCAATGGTTATCCTACAAAACATGCATTAAACCACCAACAGTAAAACAAAAGCCAGTATCATGCTACAAATTGTGAATGACAAAACATTCTCAGGACAAGTATTTTTTAATTGTCTACTTTTTTCCCCTGCATAATAAGGAGGTGATAGTACTGGAAGGTTTGGGAAGTTTTTCTTTTCTTTTCTTTTCTTTTCTTTTCTTTTCTTTTTTTTGAGAGAAAGGTTATTTAATAGGAGCAACATAATCTACACAAAACAGCCTGCTGTTATTACATGCTGCTATACCTTCCTTTTAAGCTGAACAATTCAGAACACATTGGCTCTACTATTAGATCCCCTATTACAGTCCTCACAATCTGAGAAGGAGAAGGAAGTGGCTAGGCTTAAGTTCTTGATCTAGAGAGGCAGCAGATCTTTCCTGAGCCTGAAAACCAGACTAAAAACATTCCATTCCATCTTTTAAGAAAGGGATCCAAACTGCCTGATGTCCTTAAGAGTGTTGAAAAAACCTGCCTGCTTCCCAATCTCCTCTCTGACTGGCCATTTTAACCAAAATCAAAAAGGTATCACAGTAAGATTGCCTTGAGCTTCTGAGGAGACAGACTCTGGGCTTACTTTGAACAATGTTGAAACTGTTAAGGCTATGGGGATTTATGGAGATGGACAGCCTTACACTGGGCCAGATGTGCAGTGTTACAGTGATATATTTAGTTGTCAAATTGACAAGGGTGGACTCGTGAGGGTTCATCTTCACTGTCACTTTGGCAGAATTTAGAATCACCTCAAACACTCTGTGAGGATGTTTCAGAGGTTAACTAAGGAGTGAAAGTCTGCCCTGGATGTGGGTGGCACCATCCCATGCCTAGTGTAAGGGCTCAGACAAGAAAATAGATGGCCTCTTGAGTATCAGCACCCTGTTCTTTTCTTCCTGACCTACTGAATACTCTGAACTCATGAGCCAAAATAAATCTTTCTTACTTGAAAAAGACTGATTGGTATGAGTTTCTTTGGTCAAGACAGTAAATAGAATTCTTTTAAAAACAGGAGTGATGTATTAAGACCATTCACTCGTTTACTATAATAGTCTCTTTCTAATCTAAGGAAAGATGAAAATAACCATACCAAAAAAGGCACTGTCTTTCCCACACATGAGAGAAGGCACTGTCTATCTCTCACACTGATACATCTCTGGAGCTGGAACAAAGCAGACCTTAAAATATTCCTAAAATAAATCAATCAAAGGCACAACTTGGTCAGGGGAGACCTACCTAGGCTCAGGATAGTAAAGCCTTGAGCATGAATGAGTAATTGGGAAGATCTGAAAGAAAAACTCCTTTGAGATTGTCTCTATGTGTGGCCTAGTTCTAATTATGTCAAATAAAAGGAAATTTATGACATCATGCAAATTTATTAAAAACTAAAGTAAGAATTAAGAATTTTAGTACAATCAACAAAATCTCACTATTATAGGATGTTTCCAAATGTCATATAACAAGTTGTCTTATTATCTGGGAGCGGTGGTGCATGCCTTTAGCCCTAGAATTGGGTGAAGTGGGGGTGGGGGCACCAGAGGCAGGAGGTTCTCTGTGAGTCAGAGGCCAGCCTGGTCTACATAGTGAGTTCCAGGACAGCCAGAGCTATGTAGAGAGACCCTGCCTTTAAAAAAAAAAAAAAAAAAAAGTTGTCTTATTCTGGCACAACACTAAAATTTTATGTCACAAGATCTGAGCTTTTAGAACAGCAAACTGTAACCTAGGTAGTAGGAAACTTCATAAATGAAAAAAAAAAAAAGGTGGGGGGGTAGGGGGGAGAGTCTGGTTATAAAACTAACAGAAAAAATGAGGCTTTAAATGTAGCAAACATGGCTTACAACCATTACTACATACCTGAGATACTCAGCATGAAAAGAAGGTAAGATAAACGAAGCCCAGCAAAGTGGGTTAAAATTCTGAAGCTTTCCTAACAGGAACAAAATTCTGAGGCAAACAAAACTGACCACACCCCACAAAGAGAGCGCAGCCTACTTGTTTTATAGACATGGAATTTCAGATGATTCAGAAGACCTATCACAGATGAGAGTGTCAGTAAGGTGAATTATCATTCAGCAAATATGTACTATGTCTATCACATGCCAGACACTGTTTCAGAAACTAGGTTTAATGCAATAAATGAAACAGAAAAAATAAAATAATGGTATTGGTTATATTCCATGAAAAGAAAAAGAAAGCATGAAAGAAAGAAAGAAATGATGATCACAGAATGTGTATATTACTAGAAAAATATACACTGTGCTTTTGGCAGGACATGATAATGCCAGTTTCCTATGCCCTGCTTCTCATATTTCCCCTGAATTCTGAACACTCCCAACGGTTCTGAACGGGGTATAGAATAATCTAAGGCAGCACTATGAGGTTAGGCTAGAACTCTTGCTGTCAGAATGCTAGTGGGTTTTCTTATGAACATCATACCCACCTGACACACTGCAAATACTTTTTTTAAATCTATACCTTTTTTTGGAGACAGTCTTCTGTGGTTCCAGGCTGGCCTCAAACTTATTTTGTTTTTGTAACTCAGGATGGCCCTCAACTCCTGATCCTCTGGTCTGTACCTTCCCAAATGCTAGTACTACAGGAATATAACACTTCTGGTTTATGGGGTGCTAGGAATTAAATCCAGGGCTTCACAATGCTAGGCAAGCAATCAATTGGGCTACAGTCCCTGCTCAGAACTATTGTAAACACAAATAATCTTAGAGATGTGTGCTTTCCAGGGTTCCCAGAACTGGTAAGAGTGAAGTAGGATTGAGAGTTCAAGGCTGGTACAGACTATATATCAAGACAGACAGAAAGACAGACAGACAGACAGACAGACACACACACACACACACACACACAGCTCCCTAATAATGATTTCATAACTCACTACTATCTGGGTGGACAGCGTTGAGTGAGGGCAAGTTTGGAGGGTAAACAGAACATGCTTTGTTCATTCTTTGGCGAACACAAGATACAGATGCTAGCTCTCATTACTGCCAGACTTTCCCATGTGTAGTCAAAGAAGGTAACATCTTCATCTGTGTTTTAATTTTAATGATCTCCATTAGAATTTTGGCAGATGAAAAGAAATTCCAGCTAATTGTAATCCTAACAAACTTGGGTAGAGCTGATATGTACTAACACAATGAAAAAAAATTGGGCTGGAAGTAAAAGGTTCATAGTGTGGAAACATTAAGCAGACTATAACAAATCGTTTACTACAGCTCTAAACAAGAACTCTCCAATTAGTAGTCAGCATGCACTTAATAGTCATCAGTGTTGTTCAAATCAGTATCTGACAACATAGCAGAAAATTCCAGAGAACTTTAAAGTTGTTACCTATTAAATTACTACACGCTACATGGCTTGCTGGTCAAACACTTTTGGATTATTTTATGACTCAGAAAATGTCTACTAGCTTTCCTTTTTTCAAACATCCAGCCCATGTGCCTTATGCCTTTGACCCCAGCACCCAGGAGGCAGAGGCAGGCAGACTGCTGTGAGCTTCAGGCCAGCCAGGGCTACACAGTTATCTTGTCTCAAAAACCAAAATAAATACAGACAAATATATACCTTGCAATGTTTCACATATACTTAGATCTCCATGAAGAAATCTCACAAGTAGGGTATGGTGCACACATCTGGGATACCAAAGTTGGGAGCAGTAAGATTAGGAGTTTGAAGCCAGCTTGTGTTATGACACCTTGTCTCTAAGACAAACGAAACAGAAAACAAACAACAACAAAAAAAGGGAGGGAAGGCTGGAAAGATGGCTCTGTGGCTAAGAGCAATTTTTTGGCAGAAGACCTGGGTTCAGTTCCTAGCACTCACATGGTGGCCATTTAAAACTCCAATTTCAGGGGATTGATCCAATGCCCTTTTCTGGCCTCTATGGGCATCAGGCATACATACAAGCAAAATACTCACACATATTAAAATAAGAAGAGGACACTCCTTTAATTCCAGCACTAGAGAAGTAAAGGCAGACGGATCTCTGTGAGTTCAAGGCCAGCCTGGTCTACATAGTGAGATTATCTCAAATAAAATAAAATATATTAAAAGAAATCATTGCAAGTAGTTTCTAAATTAGTTTCTCCAACATTGGGACTCACTATCCACATTCATTTTAAGAATTCAAAACACTCAAAAGTACGGTGTTACTTTATTAAACAAATATGGGTAAATATCACATAGATTTATTATGTTGACATTTAACCACTATAAGTTTCCTACCATTTCCAGGCAAAAAAAAATTAAAAGATGCTGGGGAGCTGGGTGGTGGTGGCACACACCTTTAATCTCAATACTCAGGAGGCAGAGGCAGATAGATCTCTGTTAGTTTGATGCCAGCTTGGTCTACAAAGAGAGTTCCAGGATAACCAGGGCTGTTACACAGCGAAATCCTGTCTCAAAAAGCTAAAACAAAAACAAAACAAGCAAACAAACAAACAAACTGCTGAGGAGACAGCTCAGTGGTAAGAGCATGTCTTATCAGCATGAGAACCTGAGTTCAAATCCCTAGCATCCACCTGTGTGCCTGTGACCCCAGCAATGTT